TCTTGTGCCTTGTGCAGGTTGTGTCGTCGATGTCGTTGAAGACTGCACTTGATTGGTGGGATGTGCCTGTCTAGAGGCCACATGACTGCTTGAAGGTCGAAGTTGACGTTGCGGCGCCATTGACTGTTGCTGATTTGGGCAGTGAGTGCGAGGGTGCCCTGACGTCTTGCAAAGATGGCAGAACGGTTGTACGTATCGTTGTGGTTGATGCTTGGTGTGCCGGTTGCTATTGTTGTTGTAACGTCGTTGAGTGTGAAACGCGAACTCGGATGCTGACGTTCTTTTCTTGTGGCGCTCTTCGTGCAGACCATGTCCTGCTGTTCGGCGTGGATTTCGGCGCAGAGTGCTGCTTCGGAGATCTTTCCGTCGGCTCGTAGAATAGCTCGAGTGGAACGCCAATGAGGACCGAGGCCAGTGATGAAGACCGTGACGAAGGCTTCTTCGGATATCAATCCACCGCATCGATGGAGTTTGTCGTGCAGTCCGTGACAACGGCTGACATATGCCATTCCCTTTTCGCCCGGTTTCATTTCCACTGTTGTCAGTTGTGCCATGAGATGACTCTGATTGACACTGTCTGTTGCTTGATACAGGCTCTTCAGATGGTTGTACGCGAGCTCGGCGGAGTTGCCGTATCCACGATAAGACCGGATGTTCTGCTGCTCGTTCGGCGTTATGTTTCGTAGGAGTATCGTATACGCCATCAGTGACTGATATGTCTAATGCCGCTCGTCATATTGTGTTCCATGTGTTGGGCATGGCAGGGACCCGTCGAAAAAGCCAAGAATCTGTGCGCCCTCCATCATCTGCTCGAACTTGAATGACCAGGTATAAAAGTCTTTGTTGTCGAATGTTGTTGATGTTTGCAGTTTCAGAACGTGTGCAAACTGCGACTGGACTTGAAATGCGTCCAAGGTTTTCTCTTGTCCAGGTGGAGGCTGGTGTGGCATGAAGCTGATGGAGCATGGGACAAAGGTGGGTTGCTGCTGGTTTCCGCGCGCATAGGATGAGCCATCAAGACTCATGTGTGTGACGACATTGTTGTTGTCGCTGTTGTTTGATTGTGCAGGTGTTGCTCGTAGAACAACATGAAGGGGAAGAATTTCTCCATCATGCTTGGGTCGAAGCCGGTTGCCTGGTTCGCGGGAGTTTTAGTAGACTCAGCAGCTGGTCTTGTCGCTGTACTTCCCTCTTTCTGTAGGCCAGAGGCTGGAGGTGGAGTAGGAGTAGTGCCGGGAGAGCCGTTAGAGGAGCTTCTCTCCTTCTGTGTTGCCATGTCTTCTATTGTTGTAGGAGATTTGAATGAAGTTGGATCTTGCCTTGTAGCTCTCATACCATGTTGGGCTCAAAAAGCCCTTAGGATCTTTTCAAGGCTAAGACCCTGAGTAGAGGTGTTGTAATTGCGGAAGCGTTCTTAGTGAACTATTGAACCACCTTGCACTAGTGTGTGAGAGCAAGATAGATTGATTATAGCAAAGTAATCTTTTATAAGATTACGAGGAATATGAAAGGATGTAACTAACTGTTTTACTGTTGCTGTTGCGGTTCGATACAACGATGATTCGGGCAATTGCTCAATACCAAGTCAGTTGTTTGTCCTTGCTGTCGCGCTGCTTTTCGTCGAGTCAAAGGTCGTTGACCTTTGACCTTCGCGTAACCTCCAGCTGTTACTTTCTGTCAACCTCCTCGGTTGACTCGCCGTTGCTTCGCTGTGGTTCACCTCGTTTGCGGTCCACTGTTTCGAAACAACAGAAGCGTCTAATTAATTGTTCCCAACAAATAAGAGTCCCAGTACTCGAACACAAGTCATGGGGGACCTTGTTTCGGGAGAGTCCTATATCCGGGAGAATACAGTGGGTCCTTGATAGATGCGCTGCACAATCTTTCGTGGGGTGTGCCGCCACGTCAATGCGTTTCTGTATCCGCCGCATATTTCGGAGTGATGTGGGGGTATACTAGCGGCGGGGGCAATCTTGTGTGATATTGTGTAAGGGTCCTTTGCCAAAGCATTTATTTTCATCAGTGTATACAAGCAAACCACTCTGAAATATAAGGGTCCATAGGAAACTAGGTCTGAAATATAAGAGTCCAAACCAGAACCCACCGTTATAGTAAGGGCCATAAGAGTATTTTAGCGTAATACGGTATTATCCGGGGTAGCTACAGGAACATGCCCTTACGTCAGTGATGATGAACGATGCACATGGTGAGGAATCATCAATTCAGTTCCGTTTCTGGGAAAACCCATGAATTAGAATAAATCGTTGCAAGACGATCTTCCAGACTCGCAAGGGTTCTCTCGACCGAGTAAAGTTGCTCTGGTTTTGGTGAAATCAGGTTAAAGTATCTTGAACTTGGAAATTAACATGGTAACGCGTTTTACAATTTTGAGGATGTTCCACGGCTTGAGCCCGTCGCAAGACGGACTTCGTGCTAGGTCACAGTGTGCCCTCGCCAACGCCAACGCCGTACAGTCGGTGCTCATTTCAAGAACACCAGGTAGGCGGGCGGCATGTGCGTGAAACGAGTTTTCTGTCTATCGCCACATTCGCCGTTGTCGCCACGGGCAAAAATGTGATTGTAAAATGAAATTGGAATGTGAAACGAGTCTTGGGGTATAATTTTGTAACCAGGTTAACAATTCTGATGACAGGCAGCCGTTGTTGTTTATGAACTGTAGATGTTTTCTTCCGCGACTTGGTGACTGTACCCCGAAATCAGCACAAAGGTCAATTTAGTCACTCACGGGCAAAACGTTCGCGAGTGACAAATTTTCTAATTGTGAGTAGCAATTTTTTGTGATAGGCTGAGCATCGACTGTACCCACCCCGTCTCTCGCGCCTGTCCCGCACTCTTAGTCCGCATCTCACGCTTGCCTAACAAAGAACGAGCCTAGTCGCACCAGCCCGCTTTCAATTCCGGTGCCCCAGCACCTCTCACTCCCTTCTCGCCACGCCTCACGGCCTCGCCTCGCCACCCCACTGCTCACGCTCGTCTCGCCTGCCGTGACGACCGCTCGGGCAAGAGCTGTCGCGTGTGCGGCAGTCATCACCGCGCCCACGCCCAAGGCAAGCAGGTCACTCTCGCCTCTCTCGCGCGCGCAAGAGCTATCGTGACGCGCACCGTGTCATATCGCCGCGCGCCCGCGCCCAGCGCGATCGCCCGCGGGGTGCGTCGCGAGGCCCGCCCGCCCTGTCTCACTCGCTACGCCTCCCCACGCACCCTTCCTCCTCGCCCCCTGCCTTCCAGTCCTCCTCGCCCCCTGCCTTCCAGTCCCACCCTCAATCCTCATCGCCCTCCCTTACCTACACCTTTTTATCTCCCGTCCCCTTCCTTTCCCTTCCCGTCACTTCCTTTCCCTTCCCGTCACTTCCTTTCCCTTCCCGTCACTTCCTTTCCCTTCCCGTCACTTCCTTTCCCTTCCCGTCACTTCCTTTCCCTTCCCGTCACTTCCTTTCCCTTCCCGTCACTTCTTTTCCCTTCCCGTCACTTCCTTTCCCTTCCCGTCACTTCCTTTCCCTTCCCGTCACTTCCTTTCCCTTCCCGTCACTTCCTTTCCCTTCCCGTCACTTCCTTTCCCTTCCCGTCACTTCCTTTCCCTTCCCGTCACTTCCTTTCCCTTCCCGTCACTTCCTTTCCCTTCCCGTCACTTCCTTTCCCTTCCCGTCACTTCCTTTCCCTTCCCGTCACTTCCTTTCCCTTCCCGTCACTTCCTTTCCCTTCCCGTCACTTCCTTTCCCTTCCCGTCACTTCCTTTCCCTTCCCGTCCCCCCGCCCTGCCCTCCCATCTCCCCGCCCTGCCCTCCCATCTCCCCGCCCTGCCCTCCCGTCTCCCCGCCCTGCCCTCCCATCTCCCCGCCCTGCCCTCCCGTCTCCCCCCGTAGCGCAGGGCGCATGACGTGAAGCGCAAGGCGGCCGCCCATCAGCACATGCAGGCCCGCCATGGCGTCGCTGCCCGCCTCCTCCTACCTCGTTGCTGGCTTGCTGGGCCGCCCCGGTGCCGCGAAGGCCATGGCGCGCACCGACGCCGCACCCGCTGATGCCGCCGCGGCGGGCAGTAGCGGGGGGGGCGGGGAGGGTGGGCAGTGGTACTTCACGCGCGAGCACATCGAGAAGCACTCGCCGTCTCGCGCTGATGGCATTGACTTGCGCCGTGAGACGTACCTGCGCCGCTCCTACTGCACCTTCCTGCAGGACCTCGGCATGCGCCTCCGCGTGTACGCCCTCTCCCCGCACGCCACCGCCTCACGCCCTTCCAATGCACCTCACGCCCTTCCAATGCACCTCACGCCCTTCCCCTGCCCCTCACGCCCTTCCCCCGCACCGCAGCGCATCCCCTGCACCTTACGCTCAACTCTCCCGCCTCTCGCTTGTCCTTCCCATGCCCTGTCTTACCATTGTCGTTCTGCCTCGGTGCATCAAGCACGAGTGCAGGGCCCGTGGTTGTGGCGTGTGCCATGCACATGCCACGCCATGCCATGCCATGCCATGCCATGCCATGCCATGCCATGCCATACATCACCTAACGCCAAGCCTCCTGCTCTTCCCACCCCACACAACAACCACCTCGTCACATCCCCTCCCCCCATGCACCCCCCTCATCCCCTCCCCCCATGCACCCCCCTCATCCCCTCCCCCCATGCACCCCCCTCATCCCCTCCCCCCATGCACCCCCCTCATCCCCTCCCCCCATGCACCCCCCTCATCCCCTCCCCCCATGCACCCCCCTCATCCCCTCCCCCCATGCACCCCCCTCATCCCCTCCCCCCATGCACCCCCCTCATCCCCTCCCCCCATGCACCCCCCTCATCCCCTCCCCCCATGCACCCCCCTCATCCCCTCCCCCCATGCACCCCCCTCATCCCCTCCCCCCATGCACCCCCCTCATCCCCTCCCCCCATGCACCCCCCTCATCCCCTCCCCCCATGCACCCCCCTCATCCTCGGCGCCCAGGCCGCAGATAACAATAGCGACGGCCATAGTGTTCTGCCATCGCTTCTTCATGCGCCAGTCGCACGCCAAGAACGACCGCTATGTGCGTTGTCTTGCCCTCTCACCAATGTGCCTTGCCCTCCCACCCATGTGCGTTGCCCTCCCACCCATGTGCGTTGCCCTCCCACCCATGTGCGTTGCCCTCCCACCCATGTGCGTTGCCCTCCCACCCATGTGCGTTGCCCTCTCTGCCTTTCTGCTGTGTGCCCCTCTGCTCTGTGCATAGCCCCATCATAACCCTGCATAGCCCCATCATAACCCTGCATAGCCCCATCATAACCCTGCATAGCCCCATCATAACCCTGCATAGCCCCATCATAACCCTGCATAGCCCCATCATAACCCTGCATAGCCCCATCATAACCCTGCATAGCCCCATCATAACCCTGCATAGCCCCATCATAACCCTGCATAGCCCCATCATAACCCTGCATAGCCCCATCATAACCCTGCATAGCCCCATCATAACCCTGCATAGCCCCATCATAACCCTGCATAGCCCCATCATAACCCTGCATAGCCCCATCATAACCCTGCATAGCCCCATCATAACCCTGCATAGCCCCATCATAACCCTGCATAGCCCCATCATAACCCTGCATAGCCCCATCATAACCCTGCATAGCCCCATCATAACCCTGCATAGCCCCATCATAACCCTGCATAGCCCCATCATAACCCTGCATAGCCCCATCATAACCCTGCATAGCCCCATCATAACCCTGCATAGCCCCATCATAACCCTGCATAGCCCCATCATAACCCTGCATAGCCCCATCATAACCCTGCATAGCCCCATCATAACCCTGCATAGCCCCATCATAACCCTGCATAGCCCCATCATAACCCTGCATAGCCCCATCATAACCCTGCATAGCCCCATCATAACCCTGCATAGCCCCATCATAACCCTGCATAGCCCCATCATAACCCTGCATAGCCCCATCATAACCCTGCATAGCCCCATCATAACCCTGCATAGCCCCATCATAACCCTGCATAGCCCCATCATAACCCTGCATAGCCCCATCATAACCCTGCATAGCCCCATCATAACCCTGCATAGCCCCATCATAACCCTGCATAGCCCCATCATAACCCTGCATAGCCCCATCATAACCCTGCATAGCCCCATCATAACCCTGCATAGCCCCATCATAACCCTGCATAGCCCCATCATAACCCTGCATAGCCCCATCATAACCCTGCATAGCCCCATCATAACCCTGCATAGCCCCATCATAACCCTGCATAGCCCCATCATAACCCTGCATAGCCCCATCATAACCCTGCATAGCCCCATCATAACCCTGCATAGCCCCATCATAACCCTGCATAGCCCCATCATAACCCTGCATAGCCCCATCATAACCCTGCATAGCCCCATCATAACCCTGCATAGCCCCATCATAACCCTGCATAGCCCCATCATAACCCTGCATAGCCCCATCATAACCCTGCATAGCCCCATCATAACCCTGCATAGCCCCATCATAACCCTGCATAGCCCCATCATAACCCTGCATAGCCCCATCATAACCCTGCATAGCCCCATCATAACCCTGCATAGCCCCATCATAACCCTGCATAGCCCCATCATAACCCTGCATAGCCCCATCATAACCCTGCATAGCCCCATCATAACCCTGCATAGCCCCATCATAACCCTGCATAGCCCCATCATAACCCTGCATAGCCCCATCATAACCCTGCATAGCCCCATCATAACCCTGCATAGCCCCATCATAACCCTGCATAGCCCCATGACACACTTGTTCCCACCCAAGTCGCACTGTTCTTGTGCCATGCAGTGTGTGCCATGCAGTGTGTGCCATGCAGTGCGTGCGTGCGTGCGTGTGTGTGTGTGCGTGTGTGTGTGTGTGTGCGTGCGTGTGTGTGTGTGTGTGTGTGTGTGTGTGCGTGCGTGTGTGTGTGTGTGTGCGTGTGTGTGTGTGTGTGTGTGTGTGTGCGTGCACGCTCGCATGCCATGCACGAGTGTGTGTGTGAGTTGCACAGCAATGCCTTCACGCGTCTACCATGCCTTCCTGCTTCACCTAACTACCGTCCGTGTCCTCTCCCCTTCCTCCCTCTGCGCCATGTCCCACCTCCTCCCTGTTTCCCCCCCTGTGTGCCGTGCCCCCCCTCCCTCCGCTTTCCCCCCCCCTTGTGCACGACGGCCGTGCGCCCTCTTTTAGCAGGCGATAGCGACGGTGTGCATGTTCCTGGCGGGCAAGGTGGAGGAGACGCCGCGCGCGCTCAGGGAGGTGGTGCAGAAGAGCTTCGACGCGCAGGCCAGGAAGGACCCCCGCTGCTGCTGCCAAGCTGCCCCACAAGGTGCCAAGCTGCCCCACAAGGTGCCAAGCTGCCGCCCAACGCACGATGCACGTTGCGGCAGTGATTTCGCTCTGCTCTCATACGCAACCCACCGTTTCGCTCTTTCGCTCTGCTCGCTCACCAGCTGCCGCTCCCCATTCGCTCCTGCGCGTCTTCCCTCCATTGCCCTTGCGTGAGGGCGGGACCAGGAGGAGCAGCAGAGGGAGGTGGTGCTGGTGGGCGAGGGGCTGGTGCTGGCGACGCTGGGCTTCGACCTGAACGTGTCGCATGCCTACAAGCCCCTCGTCGCCGCCATCAAGCGCTTCAAAGTCGCCCAGCAGGCCCTCGCGCAGGTCGCCTGGAACTTCATCAACGACGGGTCAGCCAGGGGGGAGGGAGGCAGGGGGAGAGGGAGGCAGGGGGAGAGGGAGGCAGGGGGAGAGGGAGGCAGGGGGAGAGGGAGGCAGGGGGAGAGGGAGGCAGGGGGAGAGGGAGGCAGGGGGAGAGGGAGGCAGGGGGAGAGGGAGGCAGGGGGAGAGGGAGGCAGGGGGAGAGGGAGGCAGGGGGAGAGGGAGGCAGGGGGAGAGGGAGGCAGGGGGAGAGGGAGGCAGGGGGAGAGGGAGGCAGGGGGAGAGGGAGGCAGGGGGAGAGGGAGGCAGGGGGAGAGGGAGGCAGGGGGAGAGGGAGGCAGGGGGAGAGGGAGGCAGGGGGAGAGGGAGGCAGGGGGAGAGGGAGGCAGGGGGAGAGGGAGGCAGGGGGAGAGGGAGGCAGGGGGAGAGGGAGGCAGGGGGAGAGGGAGGCAGGGGGAGAGGGAGGCAGGGGGAGAGGGAGGCAGGGGAGAGGGAGGCAGGGGGAGAGGGAGGCAGGGGAGAGGGAGGCAGGGGGAGAGGGAGGCAGGGGGAGAGGGAGGCAGGGGGAGAGGGAGGCAGGGGGAGAGGGAGGCAGGGGGAGAGGGAGGCAGGGGGAGAGGGAGGCAGGGGGAGAGGGAGGCAGGGGGAGAGGGAGGCAGGGGGAGAGGGAGGCAGGGGGAGAGGGAGGCAGGGGGAGAGGGAGGCAGGGGGAGAGGGAGGCAGGGGAGAGGGAGGCAGGGGGAGAGGGAGGCAGGGGGAGAGGCAGGGGGAGAGGGAGGCAGGGGGAGAGGTGGCACGGTGGGGATATGGGAGGAGGGAGCGAGAGGGGGAGACGGGGAGATGGGGGGGATAGAGGGGAGATGGGGGGAGCGGAGGATTGGGGAATAAGACAGGGAAGGTGGTGGAGGGGAAGGGTGGAGGCAGTGTGGTAGTGATGGCACAGCGCATGGTGGTGATGGCACAGCGCATGGTGGTGATGGCACAGCGCATGGTGGTGATGGCACAGCGCATGGTGGTGATGGCACAGCGCATGGTGGTGATGGCACAGCGCATGGTGGTGATGGCACAGCGCATGGTGGTGATGGCATAGCGCATGGTGGTGATGGCACAGCGCATGGTGGTGATGGCACAGCGCATGGTGGTGATGGCACAGCGCATGGTGGTGATGGCACAGCGCATGGTGGTGATGGCACAGCGCATGGTGGTGATGGCACAGCACATGGTGGTGATGGCACAGCGCATGGTGGTGATGGCACAGCGCATGGTGGTGATGGCACAGCGCATGGTGGTGATGGCACAGCGCATGGTGGTGATGGCACAGCGCATGGTGGTGATGGCACAGCGCATGGTGGTGATGGCACAGCGCATGGTGGTGATGGCACAGCGCATGGTGGTGATGGCACAGCGCATGGTGGTGATGGCACAGCACATGGTGGTGATGGCACAGCGCATGGTGGTGATGGCAGTGCGCATGGTGGTGATGGCACAGCGCATGTGTTTGTCTCGTGCCATCCCTCCCCATTCATTCGTGCTACTCCCTCACACCTGCTGCATGCTATTCTCCCTCACACCTGCTGCGTGCTATTTTCTTCCTTCCCTTCCCCTTTCCTGCTTGCAACAAATCCCCACCCCCTTCACCCCCCCGCCCCCTCTTCCCCTTCCCCCCTTCCCGCCCTGCCAGGCTGCGCACGTCGCTGTGTCTGCAGGTGCGCGCGGAGCAGTTCGCGGCGGGCGCCATCAGCCTGGCGGCCAAGTTCCTGCGAGTGAAGCTGCCGGGCGACGGTGACTCGCCCTGGTGGGCCGACTTCAATGTCACGCCCAAACTGCTCCACGGTGCGCCGCTCACCACACTCACACGCGGGCCGTGCTGCCATCTTCTTCACCTGCCTCGTGCAAGCTGTGATGCTGCCATGCAGGGCGTGCAAGTTGTGATGCTGCCATGCAGGGCGTGCAAGCTGTGATGCTGCCATGCAGGGCGTGCAAGTTGTGATGCTGCCATGCAGGGCGTGCAAGCTGTGATGCTGCCATGCAGGGCGTGCAAGCTGTGATGCTGCCATGCAGGGCGTGCAAGCTGTGATGCTGCCATGCAGGGCGTGCAAGCTGTGATGCTGCCATGCAGGGCGTGCAAGCTGTGATGCTGCCATGCAGGGCGTGCAAGCTGTGATGCTGCCATGCAGGGCGTGCAAGCTGTGATGCTGCCATGCAGGGCGTGCAAGCTGTGATGCTGCCATGCAGGGCGTGCAAGCTGTGATGCTGCCATGCAGGGCGTGCAAGCTGTGATGCTGCCATGCAGGGCGTGCAAGCTGTGATGCTGCCATGCAGGGCGTGCAAGCTGTGATGCTGCCATGCAGGGCGTGCAAGTTGTGATGCTGCCATGCAGGGCGTGCAAGCTGTGATGCTGCCATGCAGGGCGTGCAAGCTGTGATGCTGCCATGCAGGGCGTGCAAGCTGTGATGCTGCCATGCAGGGCGTGCAAGCTGTGATGCTGCCATGCAGGGCGTGCAAGCTGTGATGCTGCCATGCAGGGCGTGCAAGCTGTGATGCTGCCATGCAGGGCGTGCAAGCTGTGATGCTGCCATGCAGGGCGTGCAAGTTGTGATGCTGCCATGCAGGGCGTGCAAGCTGTGATGCTGCCATGCAGGGCGTGCAAGTTGTGATGCTGCCATGCAGGGCGTGCAAGTTGTGATGCTGCCATGCAGGGCGTGCAAGTTGTGATGCTGCCTGCCGTATCCCCTTCCCCACACCATGTTGTTTCCACTCTCGCATTCTTCCAGTGTCCTTGCACACCCTCCCTCGCGCCTCCCCTCCCTCCATCACGCCCTCCCCCCCTTGGTGGCACAGACGTGAGTGTGCAGCTGCTGGAGCTCTACGAGCAGGTGCGCCTCGCCCCCAACCCCAACCCCAACCCCAACCCCACGGCCACTGCTCCCTCCGCCGCTGTTGCCGCCCGCGGCACCAGCAGCAGCGCGGCCTCACAGGGGAGGGCGTCCGCTGGCGCCTTGAGTGACTTGCGCAGCGGCCCTGCTGCCGGGGGGGCTGTGGGCGCGCAGGGGGTGAGACGGCACAGTGACGGGGAGAGGCCGCGCGACGTGGACAGAGGGGGCCCACGCGAGAGTGATCGGAGGAGAGAGCGGGAGGCGGTGAAGGGTAGGGATGGGAGGGCGGGCGGTAGTGTGGGAGGTGAGGGTGGCGCGAGTGGGGATGGCGGGAGGAGGGCGGGTGAGGCAGGCGCTGTGGAGGAGAGGGGAGGGCGGCAGAGTGGGGGCGAGTCAGAGCATGGCGGGCAGGGTGGCACGGCTCAGTGGCGCGGCCGCGATGGCGCAGTGCATGACAGCGTTGGGGGGGACGGCAGAGGGGGCAGCAAAGAGGGCGTGGAGGAGGAGGATGGGGAGATTGGCGAGTGGTCCGGCGGGCACGTGGAGCAGCGTGGCAGCCCGCATCAAGGTGGGCCGGGCAAGGGGGGGCGGGTTAGTGCGGTGGATGAGGGCGACGGTGCGGAGGGGAGGAGGAAGAGGAGGTGGGGCGGGGAGGAGGAGATGGAGTATGAGGTGATGCTGGCTGACGTGGACGCGGCGGCGCGAGGCACAGGGGGTTCGAGGGAGAGGGAGAGGGAGAGGGAGAGGGAGAGGGAGAGGGAGAGGGAGAGGGAGAGGGAGAGGGAGAGAGGCAGAAATGAGACGCAGCAGCCGTGGAGTGGGGTGAGGGATGGGAGTGGAGAGAGGTGGCAGCAGGTGAGGGCTCGCGTGGTGTCTGTGGAGGGAGGGACGGGTTGTGACGGGGCAGGTGCGGGCGGGAGAGAGGAGGGCGAGGAGAGCGAGGCGGGGGAGATAGGGGGGGCGGGGGAGGTGGGTGTGGAGGAGCGGGGCCGGGGGGATGGGAGGGATGGTGGTCGAGCACAAGGCAGAGGGCAGCAGGGTGGCATGGATTGGCATGGAGGGGCGGAGCGTAGTGGCATGGATCTGAACCGCGCCGCGGAGGAGCCGGCAGCAGCGCGCAGCCGAGCGCTCTCTGGTGCTGCCGGTGGCAGCAGTGCTGCTGGTAGAGCTGATCAAAGGGGCTCAAATGATGGCGAGGAGCCCAGAGGGGTGCAGCGTGGTGCGTTGAGGCGTGTTAGAGATGGGGAAGAGCCAAGTGATGGTGATCGTGATGGTGATGGGGAGAGTGGTAGTGGGAGACACAGGAGTGGTGGCGAGTGGGGACGGCACAAGAAGGCTCGCATGGACCCATGACCACCATGACGTAAGTTCCTTTACCATAATCGCCCGGGCAAGCCACCCTACCATAGGGTTGGTAGTGTCAAAGTGGTATTTGTCATGTTGATGTTACACTTGGTAGGCTAGGTTAGGGTTTTGTATTTGTACCAGGGTTAACTTTTGTAAAATGACCCGTTTGGCTTTAAGACCAGGTCCTGGCTCCTTGTCTGATTGTCAGACAAAACCTGTAACGTTGTCTAGCTTTTCAGACGAATCCTGGGTACTGGTCTGAGGTTTCAGATGAAGATAGATAGTCAGTCTTAATAACTTGCAAGAAACTATCCTAACCTAATTTATTAGTCAGACATTTTTTAAACTAAAAACATCCTCTTCTACTACCGTGAGCTCCCGGTTTGAAGACCCCCCGGCATACAAGTCCCATGGGTCTTCTATCCAGACCAGGGGTCTTTTATTATGTCATTCCTGGAGAGGACCCGTGTTTTGACTTGATTCAATATAAGACCCCCCCCCTTTTTGCAATACGCTATGATGACTGTTGTTTAAACGGTGACCTGGTTAGCGAGTCACAAAAATAAACCATCAGATTCACTTTGTCGAGCAAATCTGTGGTCCAGTCAGTCAAAACACCACATCGATCTCGCGTTTTTGCTGTCGTCACGCAAGAAACGTTGACGTAACTGTCACGATTGGGCATGTAAGAGCGTGCGGATGGGAATCAGCGAGAATGCGATGCGAGAATCCGAGACTTGAAGTCTGCGTTGTGAAGGAATTCGAAAATCAAGTACATTTATTTTGAATTTCTTCAACACCGCAATACAGAATCCATTTTCTTGTAATTAATAGATGTCCGGGGGTCTTATGCACTACATGCCATTAAATAAGACCCCACAACCCAATTTTAGCACATTTGGGATAAGACCCCCGGGTCTTCTAACCGGGAGATCACGGTAAGAGGAAGAGTCACTAGCATTGCTGCTTCCACTACCACTGCCACTCCCAAACGTTTCCTCTACTGTTCATCTGGCTTTGCCAAGTAGGCAGTTCCCATGTTGCTTCCTCTGCCTCTCTCTCTCTCTCTCTCTCTCTCTCTCTCTCTCTCTCTCTCTCTCTCTCTCTCTCTCTCTCTCTCTCTCTCTCTCTCTCTCTCTCTCTCTCTCTCTCTCTCTCTCTCGTTGCAGCCTCTTCTGCCTCTTTTTGTGTGCGTGTTGCTGCTTCTGCTGCTGCTGATGCTGCAGCGCCTCTCTGCTGGTGGTGGGACCGCCGTCTCTTCAACCGAGGTCCGGCGTTGAGAGCATCTGCGAGAGGTTGTCGTGGAAGGAGAGGTCTTCATGGTGTGTGGAGAGGATTGTGGTGCAGCTGGTGAGCCCCAGTCGATGCCTGATGGGAAGAGGGGGGGGGGGGGTGGGGGGTACATTTGAGAGACACCACAGAAGTGACCAACAACATCATACACACAGATGCTTCACAGTTAAAACAATGGAAACCCGTCTTCAAAGAAGGGTATCTGAATGTTGAGGTTTTTTCTTGAACAGTTGCGCAGAGAATGAAGCCATTGGGGAAATCGGCGCTCTCTCTTAGCGCGCGATCGAGGGTACTGTCCCTACCACAACTGACAGATCCCATCCAACGACTTCAGGCTCTTCATGCTGTCGTCGAAGTAAAAAACCGTCTTCGCAGCGAACGCCGATGCCACCTTCACGCACGACGCCAAGTCCCCCCCACAGCTCTGCTTCTTGATGTAGTCCTCTTAGAGCACGTAGGTGTGAGTCACGGGTGTTCCCGCGCCATCGATCCCTTCGACCTTCACCTCGTGATGCTCTGGGCTCCCGTGTTCCTTCAGGAAGGTGGCGACTTGACCACTGTTGTCGCCGAAGGAGAAGCCGTACTCCACGTAATGACTGGTACGCCAGGGTGGTGTGGTGCACCATCGACAGAACCTATGTCACGTCGAGCTGCACATACGAAACGGAAAACCGAATAAGACTGGACACGAAAAAAAAGGGATGACTTTGCACAATACGTTACCTGTCGTCGCTGAAATTTGAGATTGAGGCAGTTTAACTCCTGGAGCACATCAACCAGGATGAAGAGAAAGAACTGAAACTTGAAACTGATAACAAGGGTGTAAGAAGGCATGTCGTATTTATACAGCACGACGATGGCAGCAGGTCGAACGTAAGCAAAGCGCTCGATGGCGTCCCCGCGAGAAAGCCAACGGATGTCCTCGATGCCTTGTCGGCGCCGGTCAGCACGTCGTCAAGTGCCTTGTACCACAGCAGCGGCGTGCAACTTTGGTCCGTGGAGGCTCTTCAGCAGCTTGCACACTCGGCTGGTTCCGTCGTTGTAGTAGTCCGGCTGGTACATGTAGAGTACATGTCGCATTCTTCATGTCGAGTTGCCTCAGGTGCAGGCCGAGGACTGCAGAGGAAGATCCGCAGAGTCACGTAGCTCCACATCGGCGCGTACATCTCGTCGTAGTCTGCGCCGTAGACCTGCGTGAAGCCCTTTAGAACTAGGCGATCCTTCTCGTAGGTGGCCGCTTCATTGACGTGGTACTTCGTAATAAGCATCCATCGGTTCTTCATAATGTTGACACCGCGTGGACGCTCGACCAGCTCCCACGCCCCATTGGCGATGAGGCTCTTGATCTCCTCATCCATGACGGCCTTCACCGCCTTCCTCTTCCAGCTCGCCAACGTCTCTTTCACCGTCATGTTGGCAATGTCCCCGCGGTTCTCTGGGTCGGCGTACATGTCGGGGTCGAGTTCGGGCAGGTCGACGTCAATCTTTGCGTCGCAGATAGGCATGGTAGCTCAGCTTCTCTACGAGCGGGTAAAACGTCTCGGCTTCACTTCTTCGACTGGGACTTCCACCATGTCACTGTCGTCGGACACCTCCTCTGCCGACAGCTCCCCTTCCTCGCCACCAAGGACTTCTACAGCGTCGCTCGACGTGAGATCGTCGATCTGGTCCACGATAGTTTGCTCCCCTGCCAAATTCTCCCCTGCCATTGGATCCTCTGCCGACTTCGCCTCTACCGACTCCTCTGCCGACTCCTCTTCTGCCGATTCCGTCTCTGCCATCGGCTTCTCTGCCTGGCGCTCCCCTGTCGTCAGCGGCTTCTGCGCGTGGACGCCGAGGTGCATCTCGTCACATCGGTCGCCGGCGATGCCACTGGTCGGCGCCGTAGGCGACGCAGCAACGTCGGCTTCTGCAGATCAGATGCAAGGGGCAGAGGGGAGGCAAAATGGGGAGCATAGGGAGGAATGACGTGCTTTACATCGTCATCCTCGACAGCAAGCAAAGGGGTTGTCGTCGACGAGGGATCCGTTGGTGCGACAGCAGGTTTCCGCATCGAAATTGGGCCGTGCTCTGCCTTCCACACCTCCAGTGACACTGTTTCGTAGAAGATCGCCTGTACGGTCGTCACCACCTTGTTGTCGGTGAGGTCGAGCACCTCCCAGCCCTTGTTCTCCAGTGACACACCGAGATGAAGGCCCCACCGGGCCTTCGGCGCCAGCTTCCTGCCGCGTTGCTGCTCGGGGACCATGAACTACACCATGCAGCCCCACACACGTGCCAGCGTCAGGTCAGATTTCTTCTTGAACACTAGCTCATGCGGCGTCGTTCCTGAAGGCAGAGACGCCCGTTCGAGGCAGTTGCGCACTCGGACGCCCTGGCGCAGAGCGAGGTGCCACTAGTGGTGCTTCACGCCCGTGTGAAGCAGCATCGTCCGCACAGTCTTGACGACCGTACGCATCTACCGCTCCGCCATCCCGTTCTACTGCGGAGTATAGGGGTATGTCAGGTTGTGAAGGATGCCCTTGTCCTCGATGAGGTCGGTGAAGGCTCGACCGAGGAACTCCCCTCCGCGGTCAAAACGTAGCATTTTTACCGTCTTCGACGTCTGCCGCTCCACCAACTTCATCCACTTTTCGAAGACGACCAACGCGTTGCTCTTCTTTGCGATCGGCCGGACCCACACATAGCGGGTCTTCCCGTCCTTCAGCAGAAGAAAATAGAGGCTGCCATCGTTGGTGGCCACTCGAAACGGCCCGCAAAGGTCGATGTGAACCACGCCGAGCGCGTTCTTGGCATCCGAACCTTGGTCCAGGAAGGTATGCCGAGCCAGCTTGCCGCTGACGCAGGAGGCACACGGCAGATCCGCTGCAGTCGAGTGCTTGATGTCTAGACCGATGTCGACCTCATGCTTCGCCGAGCTCTTGATCGTGTCGACGCCGACGTGCGCGTGCCGGGCGTGCCACATGTCTGGTGTAGACTTCGTCGCCGGGGCGATCATCCGCATAGCCACCACCTCTGCCGGGGCCGACGTCGACGGCGTTGAGCAAGGGCGAAGGTTGGCGCAGAGGACCCGGCCGGTATACTTTGCCCGACCAAGCACGCCCCCCGCCGCCGAGACGAGCAGCATTTTGTCGCCGTTGTCCTGCAGCTTCATGCCGATCTCTTGCATCTAGCCTGCTGACAGCAGATTCGCATGCACGCCCGGAACGTAGAGTACGTCGGGAACAAGAATCTGCTTCCCAGACTCCCCTCGCAGAGCGATGGTGCCACGGCCTTCGACGTTCTGCAACGCTCCTTTGAAGCCACGCACATGCTTGAAGTCACCTTTAAGCTTCATCTCGATGAACGCCTCCTTCATTCCCATCAGATGGTGGGAACAACCGCTGTCGAGTAGCATCACCGTCGGGTTCGCCTGCACGGCAGAGAGATGGCCCACTTT